TTGATTCAAAATAGTTTTTTCCCAGTTATGGTTAATTTCTAAACTTAAGTAAGTAACATTTAATCAACCCGATTGATAAAAATATACATATATTGTAACTAACATGTACATATATATGTCCGAGATGAGCATTGTATATTTAGATGTAATTTATTAGTTGGATTCATGAGTCATTTGAAGCTAGACCACTATGAAAAACCTGGAAGCATTGGACGGCCGTTTCGTCCTATTATGGAACTCCTCAGTAGTACGCATCCACCATCCCAGCTCGCGAGATTTGAACCTAGGATCTAACGGTTATCTAGAGGTTGAGCGTTCGCGCGCTAAATCGATAGGTCATTGGTTCGAATCTCACGAAGCGAGATAAGTCTGTTTTTCTCAATAAGATTTTACCGAACAAAATATAGTTGAATAGAGTGAATGACGGTTATGCTACAATTTAATTAGAAATAAATTAAGTTAGATAATCTTTAAATATTTAATTTCTAATAAGCTATTCATTGGTTCATGATAATGAAAAAAAGTTTTTATTTTTGTCTATATCTATCTTGGATTTTAGGATTGTATTACCTTTTTCTTTTGTTTATTATGTATCTTGATGGTTTAAATGTTAAGTATTTAAGTATCAAATTGAAATTTCTATGTTTAATCCTCTAGAAAGTATTGAGTACACATTGATGAATAGTGTGTAAGCTGATTCTTTAATGATTGTTTAAATGAAGTAAATATTGGTTGTTTTTCTATGAAGATTCTGTTTATTCAATAATATCTAATGAAGTTTAATAGAATATTAAAATGAAGAATAATTTTTTCCCAGAAATTTATAGTTTTTGATGAAATTTTTCTCTTTTCATAACATTATTTTCTTACTTACTTACGCTTGTTACTCCCAATGAAGCATAGGCCACTGACCAGCACTCTTCAACCCACTCTGTAATGGGCTTTCTTTCCTAATTCTATACAATTGTTTTTCACTCATAGCTGTCTCCATTTATCAATGTAATGTGTTATTCAATCTTCCGACTCTCCTTTGTTTAGCCTTGAGGATCCCATGTGAGGGATTGCCTTGTGATGCAGTTTGATGATTTCTTCAATGTGTGTTCTATCCACATCCAGCGCTTCTTCCTGATTTCTTTCTCTACTGGAATTTGGTTTGTTCTCTCCCACAATAGGCTGTTGCTGATAGTGTCTGGCCAAAGTATCCGAAGTATTTTGCGTAGACGGTTGTTAATAAACACTTGTATCTTCTGAATGATGACTTTCATAGTTCATAACATAGAAAGGATTAATCAAAAGATAAATATCATATCATCAATAAATTTACTTTAACCATCGCAGTTTTTTTTAAAGTCGTATCAGATTATTATTTTTAGAGTTAATAATGATTAAATAAGTTTAGGTAAATGAAAAGAATTTCGATAGTGACTAAAGTGTTTGTTGCTGAATATGTGTAAACAGACTTTATCTACCTCAGTACAATGGAAGATGGTTGCGCAATTTCGTGGATTGGTTGATGTTAGAAACTAACACGATTGGATTCTGGCTCAATGGTTTAGTAGGTTAAGCGTTCGCGCGCGAGACTGAAGGCCCTTGGTTCGGATCCCGATAGCGGGATCGTGGATGCGCACTGCTGAGGAGTCCTGTACTAGGACGAGACGGCATCCAGTGCTCCCATGGTTCCAGCGGTGGTCTAACATCAATCGGTTCATGATCCCAATCAAAAACTTAATAATCTCCACAGCCACCATACTGATTATTTTGTTTGTTTGTTAGATGACAACTTTTACAATATTTTGAATGAGAAAAAAGTGTTTTCTGGTTTATATTAAAGAGTGATGACAATAATACTGTTAGGTCAGTAACAGGAATTACAAAACAAAATTGTTTTTTTTTGTTTGTTTGTTGTCTTAAATGTAAAGTATTGACGAACAAAAAGAATTAATAAATAAATCTTGTTTCAATAACTCACTCATAGAAAGCAGTGAATACTTATATAGTAGCTCACATGCGATTGTGTTTGTTCACATTTAATTTGCATAAGGCTTTTTGTTAACTGATTTAACGGATAGAGTCAGTCGTACAATAACAACTTATTATTGCTGCACTTGTTTGAATATGTATGCTTGAGGATTGCTTACTGTCTATGCACATATTCATTTTGTTAGCTTTAATGTTAGTCGTTTAATTGATTCGATGATTCCCTCATTTCCCTATGTATATGTATAAGTACATTTTAATACTATACATTTTGACTCGCGGACTGGCACGTTCGCGGTTATGAGGATGAACTGTTTACAAAGATTAAGGATTATATCGAATACCGATCACTACACTTACGTACCTTATTATATTGGTATTGACGAGTACTGTGTGTTTAAAAAGCGCTGCGATTTCAATTAGGCAGGTATACTACAAAAATCATACATTTGATTTATTCAGTAAAACGGTGTACCTTAGGCTTATTGTAGAGTTTTATTGTGTTTATTCAACTATAGACTGATTTTGTTCTTAATTACTGAGAACAATCAACTCATTAATTTATATATTATATAATCATATAAATAAATTATATAGTTGTATTATATTTTGACGGAATATATTTGAACATAAAACTACAATGAATTATTATTTAAGAATTGAAGTCATGGGTCAATTTAAGCTAGACCACAATGGAAAACCTGGAGCATTGGACGGCTGTTTCGTCCTAGTATGAAACTCTTTAGCAGTTCACATCCATGATCACCCCCAAAGAGATTCGAACCAAAGACTTATCAGTCGCTTGCGAGAACGCCTGACATTTTGACCACTGAGCGGTCGGCATCCAACAGTGCCAATGTCTAACTTCAACCAACCCATAAAATTGCGCCACTGTCCACCATTGTCTTGAGAGAGTTACTGATAGGTCCTCGGTTCGAATCTCGCGGCGCGGGGTCATGAATGGACAATGCTCAGGAGTCTCATACTAGGATGAGACGGTCGTCCAATGCTCTCAGATTTTTCATGGTGGTCTAGCTTCGAATCAATAATGAATTCACTTATTAAATTACTACAATCTCCACAAAACCCTATCCGATTTATTGTTTATTTAATTGATTTACCTGTGGTGAAATAGTCACAACTAGTGATGGTTTTTGTATCAACAACTTTATTATTGTCATGAATAACTGTTAGAACTAAGTTTGTTATTTATTTTAAAAAGAATAGAACAATTAGATGTTATCTGATTTGATATCATTAATTTTATACTGTGAGTCAAATTTGTTTTAAATTATTCATCAAACTTAATATTACTATTGTTTCAGTAGTAGTGGTAATCTAATCCAACAGAATAATTACAGTGCTAGAAGATATTTATCAACTTTTAATGACAGAATTTTCAAATTAGGTAATAAAATATGTTACAGTCAGTGTAGGGACGACTCACAGGTGAACTAGAGAAAGATCTAAGAAGCTCAAAAACAGTAGAAGATATTTCATCCAATCATCTTTCGGAAGAATATTCCAAAATCCCTACGTGTAACTTCTCTATTAGACAAACGCTAAAACCCCTTATATTCGGATAAATGACTATGATATTGATTTCGGTTTTACTAAAATTTATAAATACCTGACAGTTTTTTTTACCATAATTGATACTGTTTGTAATGGCATTTCTTCCACTTGTTTTATTTCTTCTCATTTGGGACTTGGTGGGTTCTAGCGTTCGAGTGCTTAAGTTATGCGCGTCATATTAGGAATCTAAGCTCTAGATATAACAGTCAGTTTCCTTAGAAACCAAGAAAATTATCACAGAAATGATAGTCAAACGAAACCCAAGATCATAGGGTCCGAATCTATTTATCAACGTAAACACTAGTGTCTAATAAAATCTAGCTGATGAGTCCCATAAGGAAGTAAACGAGCATCTTAAATTCAACTTTTTAGCTACTATCAAAATCTGTCTAAATAACACGTATAACCTGAAAGCAATGTTTAAACAATCTACCCTTAAAAGAGATGGGTCTATTAAATTCTTAATCATCAACGACGGCCAGAATCAAACTCAAACAAATGTAATCAGTTTTAGAGAAGTTCCAAAATATCCATTAGATTATGTATAACAATAAAAGATTATAAGTTTTTAGTTTACATCAAAGAGTTTTATGGTAGATGATCATTCATGCCTATTGAAAGCTTTCACGGTAAAACGTAACTTCAAAGTTAATAAAAACATAAGAATTCGTTTCATAAATTTATACCTAGTCATTATTTATATCAAAATGACAAGTGAATGACGTACACTTTCTTACGAATATTATGTTCAAGATAATAACAAAAGCTAAATGGTTACTAGATAGATTTAATGATGTACCCATAAATAAATAAAACTCTGAAAGACATTAAATATTATTACATTAGCATAATCTATTAGGTTATATGAATGATTAATGGCTATATTTCGAGTTCATAACTTGTTTACGAACTCCCTTGAATTTAATAATAATTCACACTATGTGTTTTTATAATTTGGAAAGATATATCAAGAAATTAAACTGAATCTAATATTATATGCAAAGATGGATATTAGCTATCAGTGGAATCCTGGAAACGTGCGTCCTGTATTCCATTGCTAGCCATCATCCACCTCTGTGTTATAATACCTGTAATTTAAGGGACTATTGAAGCAATCCACACAGGATGCACATATTACAATAAGAGATTGATCGATTACAGTCCTAAAAATCAATGGGAACATTCAGACAACCGATACAAAATCGAATTATAACTACACTTTTGTATCAATATAAACATAGATCAGTTCATAATTACATAAGTCAATGACTTTTACAAAACATTAATAAGCTTTAATATTGAGTTTTATGATGATTCTAACCTCTAACAAAAATCAACCAAAAGTTATCACTTAATTTTATGCATTTTTTCCAATATTTTAAATGAGATCGAACACTACCCACTAAATTCTTAAATATTTCATTCTATTTTTTGTTTTATTTATACAGAAGAAGCTATTTTCGCTGCAACATGGCTTGGTTATTTCAATGCCTGTCTTAATTCACTGGTATATTCATTATTAAATAATAATTTTCGTATGTCCTGTGCAAAACTATTATGTGCTTGGCATTACAATCGTGAAAGACGTCAACAATATGGATTAAATCAATTGAAACATTTCGGTGATACTCCTATTCAATTAGCAATTGGTCGTGTTCCATGGAATAAATTATGAATATATTTGTACTGTAGTAATATAATCTTCTTAGTATACAGTTATGATGAAATATATACTTATTATCTCGCATTATATAATTTCACTAGTTTTATGTTTTAATAATAAACTGTCAATGAAAAAACTTATATGATGAATATATATTCCTAAACATATACAACAGTATGAGGTCATATTTTGTTCTTTTTCTTCGTTACTGTACATATCAAACTCTTAAAAGCAATAATAGAAGTTCTTTTCATCGAACCAGTGTTTTCTGTTTTGAAAAACTAGGTAATTTTTAACAGACGACTTTGAATGCTGCCATATTATTAAATGATTATTAAATGAAACGTTTATATAAAACAATAATTTTAATCTAGAGATCTAGAGGTTAAGTATTTACACGCAAGACTGACGGTTTTGGATTCGCGTTCATTGATAATAGTGTTTTACTTTCAATAAAAATGTATCACAGAAATATGAGATAATATAATTGGATTACTTTAAATTAGTGTAATTATATTAATTTGAACCCTGATTATAAAACGTCTTAAAAATTATCTTGTATAAGAGGGGAATATCTTTATTTGGTTTGTTTTATTAACAGTTTAAAGTATAATTTATTATAAATACGCAACAAGTGGTTAAACGACCAGCTGTTGTGAATTTCTCAAATAGATTACTTAGTTACTTACTTACTTAATTACTTACTCCGATTAGCCCTCGTGGAGGTGCATAGTTCGCCAACCAACAATCTTTATCCAACTCTATCCTGGTTGATCCTTTCTAGTTCTTTTCAGTTCCGATTCAAACTTTTGATGTCTGCTTCCAATTCCCAACGTAGTGTATACTTTGGCCTTCCAATTTTACGTTTTCCTTCAGGATTTCAAGTTAGAGTTTGCCTCAAGATGCAGTTTGGTGATTTCCTCAATGTATATCCTATCTATTCCCAATGTATTTTCTTGATTTCCTCCTCAACTGGAAGCTGGTTTGTCCTCTCAAACAGTAGGCTGTTGCTGACGGTATCCGGCCAATGGATGTTGAGTATCTTTCGTAGACAATTATTTATAAATACTTGTACCTTCTTGGCGATGGATGTGGTAGTTCTCCACGTTTCAACTCCGTATAGTAAAACTGTCTTGACGTTCGTATTAGGTATTTTGAATTCGATATTGGTTCAGAGTTGTTTTTAGTTTCATATAATCTTCAGTTGCAGGAATGCTGTCTTTGCTTGGCCAATCCTCGCCTTTACGTCTACATCGAATCCTCCTTGGTTGTCGATGATATTGTCTCGGTACTTAAAAGTTTCCACCTCTTCCAGCGTTTCTCCATCGAGTGTGATTATGTTGATGTTCAGCGTGTTGTATCTACAAATTTTCTTCTTTCTATTGTATGTGTTCAGGCCTACTGATGCAAAAGCTTCTTTCTAGATAGATTTCATAATGTATTTTTTTCAGTATATAAATATTATTTATTAAATTTTAATATAATTTGATCATTTTTTACGTTATGAATGATTAATATCTTATGACTAATTATCTATTATCAAAAGGGGTTTGGTGGAGATTTTAGTAATTTCAGTAGTTGAAATCATGAGTCAATTGAAGCTAGACCACCATGAAAAACCTGGAAGCATTAGACGGTCCTTTTGTCCCAGTATGGGGCACCTCAGCAGCGCGCATCCACGTTCCCCCCCCTCGAGGTGATAATAATCATCTGCTCACAAGTGACTGACTTAAGAGGCATTTCCTGGAATTCTAGTAAGAAGCCTTTACCAGTGGAATTCAACCAAGTCTGCTGTGAGATATCAGCTCACTGAAAACAATGACGTACGGTGGCTCAATATCGTGTATTGGTTGAAGTTAGACATTAACACCGTTGGATGCAGGTTCAGTGGTCCAATAATTATCTGTTATCAAATTAAGAATTAAAAGATGAAATTAGTTCAAAAGAAATAAGAGTCAGATCAAATGGAACTTCAATGATAGACTTTGTATTAATTAGATATTCATTAAAACATTATTAACTTATAATATGTAATTGAATCTATTTTCAGAAGTATAACTTTATACCAATGTAGTAGTTCCCTTTTATAAGATATGGGTATTTTAATGTTACTTTGGTTAAACTGAGCTTATATATATATAGCAGATGGTTTATGAATAATTTTTTTATTTTGTTTTACAATATTTACTTAAGCACTGAATGCATCTAATATCTTAGTTATTTTAACACCTACGCAGAAGTTAGACTTAAAAAATAGTAATTTAATCAAACAATAACTGGGTCAAATTTATGATCATAAAACAAATAAGAATATTTTTAAGCAGAGATGAATAGTGGCTAGCAGTGGAATCCAGGACGCGCGTTTCGTCCTATTGGGGACTGGTCAGTTGGATGTACCTGCATCTCAGGGTTGATGTTCACTCCCGGACTCAAACCAGCTGACAGAAATCTCAAACTTATAATGATACACAGTAAATTTTAATCCCTAATCAAGTAGTTACAAATACAGTAAGCTTAAGATATAGGAGTAAAGATGTTCTCTTAAAAAATTAATGAATAGTGAGTTAAAGTTGTAGTGAATGAGAACACACAAGTAGGTACAATCAAATGTATTTCAACACAAAATTACAGAATCACTTAGTAAAATCTGAGAACTATACAGTAAATAATTCATTTGTAAAATGTCAATCAATCATCTCAAACTTGAATGTTCCTTCGTTTCCACACAAATCATTCTCTATTCTCATTCTCTTTTCTTCAATCTTCTTCATTTTCTACCACCAGATAGTTCACTTTCGATTGATCATACATACTACTTATATCTGTCTACATCAGTAACACACAATATAGAATTATTTGTATTATACTATAAATATCCCAGTTATAAATCAGTTTGATTATAGACTTAACCAAGTAGTTGTTTATAATAAATAAGAAAAGCAAACGGTTTCTTACAAACCAGAAATTACTTAATTATGAATTAAATATATACCCTGAGATGCAGGTACATCTACCTGATGAATCCCCAGTAGGACGAAACGCGCATCATGGATTCAAATATATAACGAATTCATTCAACCACATCCATCTAACAACTAAAATAGTGAGTTTTCAATAGTTTTTTCCTATTGAAATTTAATCCTGATCTGTAGTTTGATTTATGATATTTTGAATATTTGATCATGAAATGTTTTCCACATTTCATTTTGTTGATGTTTATGATAATACCTATTTGCTTAGTTGACATTTCAAAATAACAACAACAAAAAAAAACCCAGAAACAATAAATTATAATCAGAAGGGGTTTTGTGGAGATGTTAGAAATTTCACTGGTTGAAATGATAAAGCTTGGAGAGAAAAAAGAAAAGAACAACTGTTATAGAATTTCAAATATTAGCAATAATATTCATTACACTAAGCAAGCCATATATATTGTTGACTAAACGCTCATTGAACTGAATTTCACTGCTAGCCACTATCCATCTCTGCTTAAAAAGCTTATGACTCAAGGCTGTATCGACACAATTCGCACAGGGTGCACATATGCCAACAGGAGACTGATCAATTGCAGTCTTAAATAACAATGGGAAGATACAAGTAAAACAACACCTAGTGAATCTATATATTGCTATATTTGAAGCGATTACAAGTTCAGCTAATTTGAGAACGAAACAAAGATTCTGTGACAAAATGACAGAAAGCCAATTATTCTAACGTATCCCAGCCTGCTAACTAGAGAGAGAGCGAGAAGTTCAAGGTCGTAAATTGCAAATATATATATGCCACAAACAGCCAGAAGTACGAGCAACTATGACAAGTCTAGTCGAAATACACTCATTTGTATACTGATTCATATACCCATTTTTGATTAATAAACAGAATAAAATCACATATATGAAAAATACAAATCATATGCTGAGTATAGTTCATGTTAACTTAATACAAGAATATCGTATGTTATACAGAATAAAATATCAAAAGGGATTTTGTGAAGATTGTAGTAATCCCAATAGTTGAAATCATGAGTCTATTGAAGCTAGAACTTGAATGTACTGGACGGCTGTTTCGTCCTATTTTGGGACTCTTCAGCAGTGCACATCCACGACTAAAAATATCATACGGAAAACAAAACAAATACTATACTGAATAATCATCACACATTCAATTAAGACGGAATTAATATCGAACAAAAATCATAATGAGTAAATCAATCTAATCTATGCCAGTAGTTACAAAGGGTTTTGGATTAATACATTTACTTGTATGGCATTTTTGGGATTAAGTTGTAACTGCAAACTTTTATTATCATTGTAAATAGAATCACTATAACCTGTTATACGTGAATGCCTTCATATGGTTTCAGTGTTTATTAAATTATTACAATGATGTATATCTTGATTGGTTTATAAAATTGACTGAGATGCTTACCGAATAAAGTTCAAAGAAAACACCAAGTTTCTGGAAATGATCTGATTTTACTTAAGTTCCCTCGGTCGTATATTTTGACAGTTCCTCAATCACATTTTTATCTACATTATACTATACATTTTTCTATATCAATAGTTGAAATCATGAGTCAGTTGAAAGTAAACAACCATGGTAAACCTTGAAGCACTGGACGGCCGTTTCGTCCTATTGTGGGACTCCTCAGCAGTACGCATCCACGATCACGAGATTCGAACCCAGGACCCATCAGTATCGCGCGAGAGCGCTTAACCATTAAACCACTATATATCATGACTAATATTCTTGGTTATGAATAAACATGTAAAGTATTTTATTTGAATAAAAACAAGTATTCTAGGAAAGGCAGTTTACAATTGACTCTCATTAAACTACTCTCTATTTAAAAAGAGCTTTATTTTTCACGTTTCTGGTCAAACATTTCAACTGTTTACTGACTATGGAATATCTTAAGAATTTTAAAGGGTGTTAATTCATCAGTTAATGGAGTGAAAGAAAAGTTAATGTTAATATTATATCCTTCCATTATAAACACATGATAACGTAAAGAGTATTGAAAAGGTATTAACATTTTGAATAAGTAATCTTATGAAATATTCAGTGACAACAATTGTATTCTTTCCTTTGATATAGTTTAATATAAAAAATAATGTCTGCGAGATTACTATCTATTAGCGTTATTCTCATAGTATCATGTTCAGAATATTAAATATGGGTGAGACTATAATTTATGGAGGACGATTGAACGATGCTAGACTGACTTTGAAAGTGTTCACCTAATAACTAAGACCAAATGAGGATTATAAACCAGTGTGAGGAATTAGAATTATGATGTACAGTTGATGATTAAGGTTTGGAATTAGATTTAGGGTTTTCATCCCGAACTGTCAGCTGATGTACTCTAACCCTCTAAACATAAGAACAGGTAGTATTTTATTTAGATAAATATAACTTAAATTCTGATCGT